ACCTCCCCAACTCAAAGTCAGGTACCCATTACTGCTGGGTGGGCAGGAGGGGGCGAAAAAAAAAATCGTGTCCGAACCGAGGCTCGAACCCGGACTTTCCCCTTCGGAGACGAGCGCACTAACCGCTCTGCCACCGCACCCTCTTAACTTATGTAATAGGCCTATATTGTTAGCCTATGTGTAGTCTGGAATTATGGACGCCAGTTATATAATCAATACGTCATTTCTCGCCGTGCATGCAAAAGATGCGAGCTCGATCGTCAAGAGGTGGGAAAAGAAAATTAGCTACGGCACATTTCTGTCTTACTCCTGGGATGCTGCATACCAATACCATATTAAACCTGGGTTAGTTGAAGCAAATCCATTTAATAAATTATGCTTATATTGTTTTGATAGGGGCGTAAAACACTTACTTATACTTGTTTAAAAGACGTATACTTAAAAGACTTACTTAAAAACTTACTTAAACACTTATTTAAAACACTAAAGTAAAACACTTACTTAAAACACTAACGTAAAACACTTCTTAAACACTTACTTAAAACACTTTCAATTCTTAAACACTTACTTAAAACACTAACTTAAAACATTTAGATTTACTTACACATTTTCTTAAACACTTACTTAAAACACTTTCAATTCTTAAACACTTACTTAAAACATTTAGATCTACTTACACATTTTCTTAAACACTTACTTAAAACACTTACTTAAAACACTAACGTAAAACTCTTACTTAAACACTTTCTTAAACACTTACTTAAACACTGACTGACTTAAAACACTTTCTTAATTCTTAAACACTGACTTAAAACACTTAGATCTACTTAGACATTTTTTTAAACATTTACTTTGAACACTTGTAATAACATTTACCAGCTGATTTCCCATGCAGTTTCCAGAAGCCTCGCATGGCTTCAGCGGAATATTATCACAGATATCAACCTAGGTCGAATTACAACTACCCCCCACCCCCCAAAAAAAAACCACACAAAAAAACACACAAAAAACCCCAACAACCCCAAACAAACAACAAAAACAAGCAACAAACAACAAAAAACAAACAACAAACAACAAAAAACAACGGAATGATCACATTATCTAGCCATGGAGGTACATGTACTATCTATAAAGGCATGTCAGGTCATGGGGTACAAACATAATATATATGTAACATGTTACCGTATCCGCCTTGATCCGTAATATTATATTTATGTTGCATTTCTACTGTTTACTCTCTCTCTATC